AAAGTACTCTACGAAATATATATAGAAAGATATTGTGTAATTTTATATACAATATTTTTAGATTTGCTTTAAACTTGACCAATATAATGATAACAGTTTTAAACTTGACCAATATAATTTTATAACAGTCGTATCATTATTAAACTGGATTTTTGGTAACATAATTTATAAAATAGAACCTTGGTAAAAAAATTGTTTTATGTATTAAATATTTATACATTTGTTCATGTTATTTATATCCTGTGCAATTTTGCACTTTAAAATTTCTTACAAATTTTACTCGTCACTCGTTAATGAAAATTCAAAATGTTCTATATATATCACATAGCTATATTCATAACTTCTCTAAATGTCCCATACTTTTGTGAATAACTGTATATTTATTTTAGAAATAGAATATTGAAGAATTGTTTTTGCTGTAATGCTAGGTGTAAGGTGTAAATTAAAGTTATATTAATTATTACATTGTACAAGATAGTTATATTTGATTGGGAACAATCTCTCATCTAATAATAAAAGATAAATACTAACTTTATAAAATACTAAGATAATGCTACAATTATGAGAGATCGCAAGGATTCTTTAAATAATCATTTAGGCACGAAAAGAAAATAATTTATTTAATAATGAATATTTAATTAATTACTTTGTAATTTAGTTTTCTAATAATATGAGACAGTTTTCTAATATTTTATTCATGTAGTAATTAAAATTCAATATTTTTCTATTTATTATTCTGAGATTGAATTAACGCTTTATCATTTTGTTCTGTTTTTAAATTATATCAGATATTTCTAGATTTCTGTTAAATCTAGTCGCATTATTCGCCTACAATTATTAATATGTACATTGATAAATGAAATAAATTTATACTATTGATCAAACCTAACGTATGCGCGCCATTAGTAGCGAAATTAATAATTGCAAATATATTAATCAAATTTATGCTGTAATTGTTACATATCATTTCAGAAATTGCACCTAATCTATAGTTATTTTACAAATCTAACTGTTTGAACTATATGTTAGTCATTTGATTTCAAATTAAATGCATATTTCAAATGGAAATTAAATGTTAAATACTCGAAATTACAAACTTTTTAAATGTAAATAGATTCATAATAAATTGACAAATTATAATCCATCGTCCTGTAAAAGTTGTCTCATTTTAATTCATCTTGAATTACTGATCATTCAAAAAAATGTTTTAACTAAAATTTGCTTTGTTTCAAGCAAAGCCTTCTGTGATAACTATTTAATCTGTCTAGGTGAAGACATTTCCGAGATTTCAAGAACAAATCCACTTTCAAATGGAATCATATGTTCTTTTATGCATTAATCGATACATCTTTCTATTCTGTATAAAAGAAAAGGGATTAATTAAGTTATAAGGATATTTTAAGTTTAATTTTTTAAAATCTAGTTTTAATTTTTACATTTATTTATTCATGCTTTATTTAAATCAATAATATTTGTATGTGGAAGATTTATTCATTGTATAAATGGAATTCAAAATTTTCGTTTTTATAAAGGAATATTTTATATTTATTCAATAAAAAGAGTAATTATAATATTCTCTTTAATAATATTATGTGATTTTCCTTTTTTAGTTGGATTATTATTCAACAGATTTAATACTTAAAATATATTTTTTAAAGAAAATAAAAATTTTTTGTTTAATTTTATTATCATTTAGAACACTATTAACTATTTCTTATTCAATTCGTATTATAATAAATTTATTAAATAATAAATTAATATAATTTATTTTTATGAAGATAAATTAATAAATTTTTGTATAATATTTATGATAATAATTATATTAATGTATATTTTTTTATTAAAATATTTATCTTAGGTTCTATTATAAATTTAATTTTAATAAAAATGAATTTTAAAATAATATTAATTTTTTAAAAAATATATAGTATCAAATATCTATAGTATCAAAGACGAGGAATTCTTGTATTCACATTAACCTCCTCTTTCATGCATAAATTTTATAAAATTAAAGTTAAAATATCTTCTAAATTAATAATTTTTCGACACATACAGGTTAATACATTTTTATTAACAATGTCGATATGTGTCGATTGTTGTAAAATACCTATATGATTCCATTTAAAAAAGTGAATAAAACCAGAAGAAATTTTATTTCAGACATTTCGTTTCGCATGATAAATAGTTGCGAAGGTAATTATGAGGATGAGACACTCTGTATACTGTAAAATATCAAAAAAATTAAAATATTTATTTATCATTACATTGTAATAATTTATATATTTATTTGACATCAATTGTAATACACTTTAGTGTATAATAATGAACTGAGATGAAAATAAAATAACTGTTAGGGCAACTATAAAATGCATCAAAGTTATAAAATATTCTTTTACACACTTCGAATAAAGTATAACCGATATTGCATGACTAAGCGACATAACACACTTATCGAGCATTCCTTTATCATTCCTTCATGAATATTTCTGTCGTAAGTTAACAAGTCACCAACAGAATTTTAATGGCAAACCGTCTATACGACATCGTCGTTATCTCCTGCATTATTAACAAAAACTGATGTCGTTAATAATTCACATTCTATTAACAAAGCATAAGGTAAAGTCGCGCTAAATAAATGCGAGCTTGAAATCTTCTATGGCCTAATACGATGAAATTTTAGCAGTTAATTGTTTTAATAGATGCGTTAACATAAACACAACACTCATAATTAACATTAATACATTGCTTAATGTTGAAATTAAGGTTACATGTGCATTTTAATGCTCACTATTATATAGTGATACATTTAATTTCAGTAAATTTTCAATGTCAAATGATAAATTACTTCTCATGTCGGAAATGTTTAGTTATTGATAAACCACGAAAGTCATCATTAAGTCACTGATAGTGAATGTAAAGATAGCTAAAAAAAAAACCGCAGCTATACTGATGTAACAGCTTCGTAAAACTCTGTTCAACATTTTAACAAATAAACATACTTTAAGCACTTTCTTTTAAGAATTTTCACGTAAAATTTTGTCATAATATAATATACATCCATATTTTTAACGAAAATATTAACAAATACTCAGAAATCATTGAAATATATAATAAATATATAATAATAAATATATAATAAATGTATAATACATATATAATCTGTACAGTCTGTGTTATATAAAATTGTATGTGCATAATTTACACATATAATTACAACGTAATACAAGTTTCTTTTATTTTGCCCCTTCGATATCTTCGTTATTTTTACCAATACAAAAGAAGCATTTGGAGAAAAATTTTCCTTGAAATTGCCATGATTTTTTTTATACCAAATTATTTAAAAGTTAATAGATCACACATATCTGAAATGCATTTCTTCTTGTCTATAACAATATGCAAATGTATGGAAATATATGGTCTATAATTTATGGAAGAAAAATATCCCATTATGATTGAGAGCGAGAACAAACAACGACTTTGAAAACGTGAAAAAAGAACGATTTTTTAAAGAAATTGAACATGAACATGAACAACGAATATTTCGTTTGAAAATAAGTAACTTTGTTCTGACACATTTTTTTGTATCAATAAAAATACACATCGCTATAAGCAAGATAGAAGAAACTCCTGTATATAAAATATCAATAAAATTAGTGTCAGTGTGTATCTGAAAATATTGTCTAATAATACTTATAAATATTTTTCAATTAAACATTAATTATATATCTGAAATAAAAAGCAAAGGGACTTAAATAATGATTTAACTATGTTTGCACAATTGTGAATGCACAGAGTATACACAATCACAGAATATACACAATTGTGAATTGCACGATTCTATAATGTAAGTGAATTCAAATAATAAATTCCATAATAAATTCGAAATACTATACGAAATGTATTAAATAAACAGATAAATAGAAACAAGTATGGCAGAAAAAATTTCTTAGAATAAATTAAATATATAGAATAATTCACACGCATACAAAAGTAATGTGTGTAGTAGCAGTTTCCAACAAAACTAGATATTTATGAATATTTTCATAAAAATAAATAAATAATATTTTTTATATGAAATTCATTCTAGAGATTTCTAAGAATATGTACATGTCCTTTCTTTGTTAAAATATTTTAAATAAAACTAATTTTTATTGAAATTTTTAATTTATTAAAAGCTTTTCTCCAACTTTGAATTTCCTAGAAATACATGAAATACTAATATCTACTAAAATATTCTTATGCAATTTTATTTGAAAAAAAAAATGCTACTTAAGAGAATTCATACATTTTATCAGTGTAAAGAAATTTCAAATTTCAACTTTTGATTGTTCTACTAATAGTAAATAACAAATAAATCGAATATTGGTCTTTTACGAACCGTTTATGATCAGTTGAAGAATGAAAGAACAACTGACGAGTGATAATTTTCTTTTGCTCAAGTATAGGCAGTATTTACATAGATAATAATTTCCAAAAATTTCTTAAAACTGTTTCAATTTATTCTCATTGCTCTCGTGAAAAATAGACAACTGTAAGATTGACATTTGTCAATATGTAGTTTCTTTTTCTAATAAAATTATACTTCCAGAATAAAAATATCCCTAATCCCTAATTAATTGAAAATTGTCAATGAAAAGACCATTTCTTTTCATTCTCGATTGTAAATCTACTTAGACGTGTATAAAAAAACCAGAGTAAATGTTCAATTCCTAAATTAGCTTTTCCGCTGCTGTTTCTTTAATAAGACGTTCATTAAAAGAAGAAATAAAGAAAAGTCACTTTTCGTTACTTTTTAGAAACAAACTTTTAAAAAAATTATAACAGACAAAAAATAACCACAATTGAGGAAAACCGCTAAACTAGAAATTTACCGATCGCCTAAATTCAAAATTAGCAATAGTCCATTTCTTTCTTTTTTTCTTTTTCAATTTTTTGTCCTCTCTGAGCGTGCAGCGCAAAAGCTAGAAAATTTGCAATTAAGAACGGGAAATATTACTCACCCAGCAAAGAACATGAGGAGGAACCAAGAACCGGGAACAGCAACCACAAGTATCGCGTCTTCTGCATGCCTATTACCAGCAAGACGACACGGAATGCACGCGAGTATGAGCAGATTGCTGATCAAGAATATGAGCTTGGCGGGCTCGTGACTCTGTAAGGTAAATGTGCAGGTGAAACGTCAAAGGTAGCACGTATTCTTGTACGCTTCACGGCTTCCCGCAGAGGAATCGATAGACGCTATGGAATTTCGGTACGTGGCAACGCGTTGCGTCGCCAAGCAAACGATCTATGTATAATTGCACGGCGGGATCGAGATTCCCTCGAGGGGGAAATCATTTTCAACGTCGATTTTCTCAAAAAGGATTCGACGGCAACGTCGATACGCGATATCACAGGTTAGTAACTCGCGATACGGTCGCGTACGTCACGTCATCCTAATTATATCGTACACTTGATGTCTAACGCTATCGAGCAAGCCAGGCTAATTACGAATTACGTATTCCCCGGTACGAGAATGCTGAATGAGTGACACGATTTACGAGTGAACCCGATATTGTGTATTCAGCATTGTCAGTCGAGAAATCGCTTCTTTCAGATAAAACGACGCAAATTTGTGTTTCATCTGCTTCCGTTTCAAGTGCTAATTGCCAGATAGAATCCGATAGCGGAACGGTGTTTTAGAAAATCGTGAAATTGAGAACTAGAAAATCATAAGTTGTCAGATTTTAGAGTACAGGGTATTTTTGTAGCACGTGGGAATCGAAGAGGTCCGAGAAAATCGAGTTTACTTGCTTACTGAAAATTTACTAAGAGTATACTTGACATTAGATATAGCTGATGTGTGCTGCGAGATGCAATAGCACATACTTGAGACGCATGATTGAACATTTTCAATCATCTACAAGTTGAAAGCTGAGATACATTATACAGATACATGTGACACTTTTTACTTATGTCTGTCGATTCATCCTCAAAAATATAGAAATTTAAGTATGTGCATGTATATTATTATAGCGACTGTAATTACAAGAATATTATAATTTTTAAATCCCCTTCTTTTGGCATACAATTAATTACAGAAATCCATCTAAACGAACAACAATAAAAAAAAAAAAAATTGCATCGAAATATACCTCCTTTTGTCTATTATACTCTACTATAGTTCGTTACAGTTCACTGGTGGTTCGCTCAACCTTCGACGGCTACCGCGCGATTCGAAATTGCCTCGGTCTCGATCCAAGGGAGATATCGGTAAATGAAACAACGGGAGACGTTTCGTGAGAGAGCGTAACTTTCACGACTGGTCCCGCAGACGTGCACGCCGCCCGGAATGGATACAGTCAGGAAGCAAGATTCTCTCTATCCCTCGGGCTTACCAACTGTTTCATAAATGACAGAAGACCGATGTTGATGACTTCGCCGCCTAGTTGCACCAGAATGTAGCTCAGCACGCCTAACACTGTGATGCACTCAGCGATCACGCGTGCGACTTCCGTGATTTCCTCCGGCCATGTCAAGAGCGTAGAATCCATGTTCGACGGTCTTAGGTAAACGGCCAGCGAGAGTGATGTCAAGTGGAACACCAGGATGATCAATCGTTTCAGGAACTGCAACTTTCATAGAGACGTACGGACATTGAATTACTATGTATTTATTTTTTGTCAGATTGCTGCATAAGCGGGCGTGTTTACAGTGTTCTTGTTTTCACTGTTCACGGCACATAAACGTGTGTCAGGGTTTTAGCTTGAAATTTGTAGAAGTTTAGAGAATTTACAATTGATTATAAATCTCAATTAGTTTCGATAGCAAAACTCAGAATTGAGCATAGTGCGTCGACGTATTAAGGTTCAGATATGTAATTAAAAATATATTCTTGATTTATATTTATCAAGAGATGTAAAAGCGACTCATATGTCTAGCTGCGAACCTAATCAAGATATTTTGAAATTTAATAAACAAGCAGTAATAAAAAAGACTTCATTGCATTGCATTAATTACATTAATATTATTTTACTATTCACAGATGCTTTCTCGTCTCTCTACACAATTGCAAGGTGTTTTAACCGCGAACAAGAGACATGGGAAATTAATATGTTTTTTCTATAAAAAAAAATTAATGGAGTATCCAATTAACGATTAAAATTGGAAGGAATTTAATTGTTACTGAAAAGAATAGAATCATTATTTATAATTAACAATAAAATCGAAATTTTTCCATTAATCGTGATTAAAGATTATTGAAAAAATTTAATCGTTAATCGCTGATTTATATTTTGCCCTCTGGCAAAAGTATCATGCAGACAAAGGGATAATTTCTAGAAGATGATGGAACTGTTTCCTATACCTGTCATCCCACGAGTCACTCTCTCATGAGATGGTAATTCTGAAAACCTTCCACATACTTCCTGATTTGTCTTGACAGATTTTCCGCTCCGCGAAACTAGAGTTCTTTGGAAAGGACAGATGGAGACTTTGAGGAAGTCACAGTACAGTAACTAATAATTCAGTAATCAAGTTCTCAATTCAGTAACTAATAATTCAATAATTAAGTAGCCAGTAGTCATTCAGTTCAGTCAGTCAGCTTAGTGAATAAGTAATCAGCGCAGTCAGGGATCTTAGAATTCATCAAGTCAAATCAGAATTATTAATTCCCACATCAATGGAGATGGTCTCTCTGCACGTGACCAACACCAGTCGTGAAAGAGTGATATCATGACTCCTTTTGGTCACTTTGTCCCCATGTGATTTTCATATTTGTAATAAATATTTAGAGATATATTTAGAATATATCATTTTCCTTTTATTTACAAACTATAGACCTGAAGAAAGACGTTTTCATGAGATGTTACAAAATTGTTATTAATAATAAACATAAATATATCTGCAAAATAAAAATTTTTCATCCTGTTTAAAAAAAGATATTTCTTGTAAATTAAGAAAGTTAAAAAGTTGTATGTTGGTGGAAATATATATGCGATAAGAAGCTTATGGGATCGGTATTTATAGGAAAGATCATTTAATCTTGCTAATATTTTTAAATAAAATAAATATATAAAACATATAAACACATAAAAGTTTTCAAAGTTTTCAAACAGGTTGATATATTGATCTCACCAGAATAATGCATGATAAAGGGAAAATGAAAAATAAATGTACAACATAAGTCCAAAAGCTCATTCTTTGATACCAGATATCCGAGAATTTCTCATAATATAATATAATATAATGTAATCTAGTGTAATGTAATGTAATGTAATATAATGTAAAATAATATAATATAATATAATATAAGATAGTATACTAAGTTTTAAGATTTGACTATTAGACTTTCATTGGTTTCAAGACACAAGAAGATCCAATTGAAATAAAAAATGATTATTCTATAATAATTTTAAATAAAGAAAATTGTAGATAGTCTTCAACATCGACTTCAAAACGCAATATTCATTCAGGAAGAAGATTACTCGAGTGGAATGATTGAAAAGAAAAGGTTCTGAAGGTGTTATATATCATGAGCTCCTATGACCAAATGAAACTGTTTCAGCTAATTGCTATTCAACATTATATTATTCAACAAATTACAAATAAGAATTAATCAACAAACGACAAATAACAAGCAAAGGATGAAAGATGATCCTTCTGCACGACAATGCAAATGTATTCATTATTCAATTTTTAGATATTATATAGATAGATAGATAGATAGATATTAAATATTATATTCAATAATATTCAATAATTTTTGAAATGGATAGATAGATAGATATTAAATATTCTATTCAATAATAGCTGTATCTAACAAAATAGGTCTCTCAATTATTAATTATCAATTTGAATTTGGAAAAGAAGAGTTTCCGCTGTCTCCAATAATTTTCAAATATTCTATAAAACCTGTTCTCAACTATTTTTTTCAATTCTTCGTATATGATAATTGTCAATAAAGAGATATAAATCAAATATATTGTTCACTTTCTCCAAAAATTTCAAAAATCGGTAGGAAATAGTTAAGAAACCTTTCTCATAAGATACATTCACAACGCGCAGTTACTTCCACTTAAAAAAAAAAAAAATATGCAAATGCGCTCATGTAGTGTGCAACGTTGAAAAATGACAGTATCTATAACGCATAGATCTTTCTCACGAGCACATAAATCGCCGTTACTCCAAAAGAAAAAAAAAAAAAAAAAAAAAAAAAAAAAAAAAAAAAACCAAAACAGGAAAAAAAAAAAAAAAAAAAAGGAAAATATAAAGCCAGCACAGGTAATAAAAGATAAACTGTCCAAGCGATAATCTCAAACCCCCCAAATAAAAGTACACTCGCGTATAATAATAAACGTAAACTCCCGTTAAATTATTGTGTTGTTTGAATTAACAGATACACGAATAGTTATTTGCTGATGTTCAAGTAACACATATTCTCGACTGTCTGTGGAGTTGTTCTAATGACGTGTTACCATCAAATGTGTTTCGTGATTAATTACACTACAACCGTGCTAATCTCTGTGTACAGTATCATGGCATAATTGGTCATTTGACGCTTGTATGCGGTTTAAACGTGGTCGTGATTAGTACTATAAGTGGAATATGTCACAGATGTGCCGTGCCATTATAATGTTCCTCCGTACTTGTGCAGGATGTTCCATTAACTCCATTACAAGTTTCTTCAATGTTCGTAATGAAAAATCAATTTAGTCTTGATCGTTCTACGTGTATGCCTGTGAATGAATTAAAAAAAAAAAAAAAAAAAAGAAGAAGAAAGCATTCCGAACATAATGAAATATCGACATAACGAAAAATCAAAAACGAAATTCCTGAAAAATTTCTGCACGTGTCTTCCTTTTTTTCAACTTTCCTGTTAACTCGACCAACCTCTTTTCACATTTTTATTGATATTTTCGAAATAATACACGCCCCGATGATTATCGTATAACATTTTTTTTTTCATTTCCCATATGGAAAATACAGTCAGCGATATTTAAATACGAAATTTCAATAAATTCCGCGTGATTTTTAACGTTTTATGTCCGTGTTTTAAAAGTTGCTTCGAACAACAACGAAATTAATCAAAATAATTAATGAAAGCTTCGAAAATATACATATGCAGCTGCGATCGACAATTCACGAATAAATGATAACTATACATGGAATGTTACGTTTCTAATTTCGCGAGAACAATTTCATATTTTCTTTTTTCTATGATGTGAAAGTCGTGGAGGACGCGATATCGTATATATAAACTTAATAATATAAACTTTATATAAACTTAATAATAATAACTATATATAAACTTAATAATAATAATATAAACTTATATATAATAATATAAACTATATATAAACTATATATAAACTTAATAATAATAATATAAACTTTCAGAAACTTTGTGCTATGAAGTTAGTAAAATCTTGTAATCACTCGCATGCCTGTCTGTATACATACAGAGTATAAAAAAAATAGATTAGACGTGGATTCTACTCTTTCAGATTGGTGGAGATTTAGTGAAAAAAAGTTTCCATAAAATTAACCTTGATCTCGAATTTCAAGGTCAAAGTTTTTTTTTACTGCATCTTATTCCACTCATTATTTTTTTATATCATCGTTCCATTCATATCATTATATTCATATTATTACTTCATTTCACTTTTATTATTTCTGTAATGTATGTACACGTACGTGTAATATATAAATATTGCCATAATTAATACGGTCAATTTAAATGCAAACTGTAGTAAATTGATAAAGTTAGTATACACGAAATTTTCGGTAAATAGATGCGAAAGTGAAATACTTCAAAATTAAAAACGCACAACAAATTAATTAATCTTTCGAATTAAATACGGAATGTTAATTATTGATATTAATATACGTAAATTTATTCTAACAACGACAATCGTTATACAATAATGTATTTAATTATAAATTATTCTCTATGGTAATTTTTAATATTTTGCGCAGGGAATTTAAAAAATCTTTTTTTTCTTTTTATTTCAGTAAAAATAACATGCGATAAAACTGTCAATAAACCCTGTGCTGTATAATCGAATAATTTAATTCTAAACACCATCGTCCAAAAATATTCATCTGGTTCATATTTTGCTTATTTCTAACAGGATGGAATTTAATTATAAAGGATTACAAATATTACAATGAATCATAATATTATAAAAATTACAAATTAATGTTATTTTTTATTACAACTGTGAATAATATTATTGAATATAATTTCGTCCCAATTGATTTTTAGAAATCAATAAAGGAAAATAAAATATAGATGTCGAATTGGAAAAACGTATTTTTGAGATAAAGAGAAAGTACTAATAATTCATACAATGACTATTCATCTTCAGTTATATTGATGGCAATAAAAGAGAAAATTGATTTCTAATTCATAATTTAAGATTGTGCTGATTTTATGAGAGTTAATAAATAATTCTTATAATCATCAGTTCGTAAATATTCTAGATCAGCAGATATTCTAACACTTGCGAATGGGCACTGGATTTGTATAGAAGTGGACAAAAGTATTCGCACGCCTAATGAAAAATTTATTGATGTTTCAAATTGCTTGAAAACTTCGTGAAACAAAATTGTACAATACATCTAGCTCTTTCTT